GTACTGGTGCGACTAAGTCGACTTTAATGGGAGATCTCCCTAAGGAGGAACCTCCATGTCCCACCCTTCCTTCTTACCTGCCTTCGCCAAGGTAGGTAGTAGCTCATAGGATAGGGCTAATAGTAGGGATAGTCTACCTATCCCCCTCCTTCTTAGGGCGCGTCCCGAGCCCTTGGAAAGAGGTAGCTAAGGTTGGTTTGAAAAAATTCAGTTGCCAAACCTTGCATAGTTTGCTAGCAAACTAGATGTAGCCCAAAGCCATCTAGGAGGCCCGTAGGCGATCTAGATACGGCCCGGAGGCAAACCAGGTGCGGTCCAAAGCCATCCAGGTATAGGCCGACGGCCATCCGGATACGGCCCGAAGACCATCTGGCAGTAATGCAACTTCGCAAAGCCAGCAGGCAATTGCAGGCCTATAGGCCATCTGGATACGGCCCGGAGGCAAACCAGGTGTAGCCCAAAGCCATCCAGGAGGCCCGGAGGCGATCCGGATACGGCCCGGAGGCAAACCAGGTACTGCCCAAAGCCACCCAGAGCTCAATAGCAGTTGCATTACAAAGCTGTCTGTGCTGCACTTCTCGCTGAAACAGGAGGTGCTTTGCGCTAAAACAAGAGATGTTTTGTGCTGAAACACAAGGTTCTTAGCGCTAGTGCAGCTGACAACAATCCTGCATTCAACCACCACCACCACCACTGTATCCGCTCGAGAGCTTGAACGCTCAATCGGTGCGCGTACGCAAAGTAGCCGGTGAGGGCTCGGATCAATGACGGGGCATGGGCGGCTCGGTGGATGGGCGGCTCGCAAGCTGACGATCAAGGATGAGGGGTACCTGCATCTCCTGTCAGTTGCGGTGCCTGAGCTTGTTTAACTTAGCTTGTTTTGTAGCAAGCGTTGTTGCCATCAAAATTGATGGGGTCAAGCCTCCTCCAGCTGCGCTGCGCGGACTGCTCATCCCAAGGGGATATGTGAAGGTTTACAATGTGAGAGGTATCGAGCAGGAAACACAGGTCACAGAGAGGGAATGCAGGATAGGGGGGGGGTAACGAGAGTAAACCTTAGGGTCGGAGGCAGAGGTACGGAGGCCGAGGAGCCTATATACCCTGTGCCAAGCCCTTAGGGTACTCAGGGGTTGGATAGCTGTAACATAACCGTGACAAATATTATCGCTGCTACCTTCTTTGCTTTTAGCAGCAATTTGTCTAACAAAGCTTAGTGTTCTTCTTTATTTGCTAAGCGGAGCTTAGCATAACGTACCTTACAGGCGAGTTAGTTATTTGTGCTAAGCCTCTACTAAAACTACTTTAATACTCTAATGTAAGGCCGAGATGGCGCTTACGTGCGACGGGTATATATACTATTCTGTACGCAATAATTAACCGTTGGTTGATTATTCGCACCTTTTTGGTTGTATTGGCGCAGTGGTACAGAGCTCCGTCCTTACATCTAATGCTTTATTAACAACACTTTGTAAAGATAGGATAGTAGATAGCACGGATAGCATTGGGAGCAAGGGTTCGAAGAGAGATAGGAGTGTATTGTAAGAGAGACGAATCGCTGCCAAGCCTCGCTTGTCAGGATTCATGCTTATATACGAAGCACAGGTCATGTGACCCCAAACAGGTCAAGTGAGGCCATACTGGCCCGTTCTAGGAAATCCGGCCTTACACACTTTTTAAAAGCTTTAAAAGAAGCTTTAAAGAAGCTTACACTTTAGGCTATTAGAAAGACATAATACTTTTCTAGTAGTTAAAATAATTTATATAAATTATTACATTACTTTTTTTTATAAACTAATAGTCTATATTTATAGTATTTAGAGTAGTATTTAAAAATAATTTAAATAAAATATAATAATATAAGACTTTTTAACAAAAATATACTTATTACTAAAAAAAAAAAAAAAAACTAAAACTTCATAGCTATAGTTACTTAAAAAGTATTACGTTTTATTTAAAAGCTTAAAGTGTAAGCTATATTTAATATTCTTTTAACACATTTAAGTAGTGTTATTAGAAATGCATTAGTGTAGAAAAGTAGTTTAGTATAGTTGTCAGATTGAAGCACTGTTTCTAGGCTTCCTGAGATGAATGATGGGTTTGGATATGATGTATGGGATGATTAATTGATTGTATTAATTGTGTTGATTTTTTGATCCTTTTTCTGCTCTACTCGTGTTGCTCGGCTTTTTGTTTTGCCGATCCGAGTCCCTCGCGCACTTGCCCTATGCGCGACCAGCTTGCAAAATGCTGCAATTTTCTGCAATTTGCTGCAAACTGCTGCAACATGCTGCAAAATGCTGCAATTTACAGCAACATACTGTTCGAGCTTATTGCTCGTACTATGTAGCAGCTTTCGTCAAGCGTTCCTCCTGTCTTGACAGTAGGTGCGCAAATCTGACACACCCCCTCAGCTTGGACATGCTTCAAGCTGGTTCCTGATTGCGCAACCTTAGTATGCTTCCAGGGCTTCCATTCTTGCTTCAATCTCTTCCATATCCGCTTCCTGACTGACTATCCTCTCCCTGACGTTAACTAGCCGAATTTGCTGAAGAAAGCTTGGCCATTTGCTAACTAGAAGCGCTTTAGTAAGTCTGTCTGCAAGCATCTTACTAGAGGGGACATAGACAACCTTAATCATTTGTCAAGAGACTTCCTGTTAGAGCTAGTGGTTATAGATGTTAACATGTTAGAGCTTAGTTTAAAGTTAAGATATCTCTTTGTTTACTAGTTAGATTGTCTGCTTATTGTTGCACTAAATTATAATAGTTAAATTAGGCAGCTTAACCTACAGTTTGTTAAGGAGCATTCTTGTAAACATAGCTTCCTTAGTAACTTAGAACAGTGCAAGTAATTCTGCTTCTATTGTTAATGTTGTAACTATATCTTGTTTATTTACTTACTATGCAATCTATCTGCTAAATAGTTAAATAATGTAGCCCTAAAAGCTCTTTCTATCTAGTGTATTATCTGCAAATAACGCATTGCTTACTACTATAAGGTAGTCTTCTTCTCCTAATTAGAGTGCGTACGTCTGTGTCGCATGTAGGTACAGGATAACTTAATCAGCTGCATCCTGATAGTTAGATGCGGGATTCGTGAGAAACTGTGCAAGGCGTGATGTAGCAAAGGCAATGTCTAGTCTTATAGTAACTGCTGCAAAGAGCAGAGATCTAATCTTCTACTAATATTAATTTACTTTTAATAGGGTTACAAAACTAGATTACAGCATAAGTTTAATCCTACTTATAGGTGTAGTGTGCTGTAGGTCCTTTCTATTAGCTAGCCTAGCTATCTTGTTAATATATAAGGCCTATAATAGCTAAATTATTTATTACTATTAATCTCTAATAATCTTAACTTCTAAGAACTATTATAGGTCCTTGCCTTTTATTAGGGTATACTTCTTTTGTAACTAGTTTACTACACGCTGTGCATCTGCTTTAGAGCCTTTTTTGTACACAATAATAAAGTTATTTACATAGAAAAAGATAAATATTCTAGCTTTAGTTATATAGTAAAGTTTATGTAAAATAGCTAAAAACCTAAGGCCTTTAAAAGTTATTATAAAATAGTATTACTAAAGTAAAAAAAAAATTTGTAGTTTATATAGTGCTTTTTAAAGCTTTAGTATTATACCTAGTTTCTAATAGCCTCTTAGCATCTGCATGTAGATATTGCAGTTAATTACTGCATGTATAAACACATTAGTTATGTTATATTATTTAAGCTTTAAGTTAAAGCATGTAGATATTACTATTAGCATTTAAAATAAGCGTTTTACTAGGGTAGTAGTGTAGGTATTTTATGTAGTAATGTTTCTTTATTAATTACTATAGACTACTAGTTACGCCTTACATTTTTATAATCTATAGTGCTTATTAAGCTTGTAGGTGTACACCTACATATAATCTAAAATTTGCTGTCTAGCTGCCTTAATTAGCTTTATCTAGACCTCTGTCTAGAATTTTATTATCTAATAACTGTCTAGGTGCGTTCTTTCTACTACCTTAAACATCTTATGTAAAGAGTACTTTTTTAGTTGCTTTTAAGTTAATAGCAGAAGTAGTAGCTAGCTTTTATAAAGTGTTTTTTTTTAAATAGTATTTTTATTAATGCTGCTTTATCTAGTGTCTTACTGCTATATTTTTTTACACTTTTAGATCTTATGCTAGCTATAAAGGCTGTAGCTTATAGTATAGTCTTTAATAACCTTATTTAGCTTAGCTTTAGTGCTGCTCTAGCTATTAACTATATAAGTAATGCTGTAGGTAGTAGAGTGTTTAAAGAAAATAAATAGTTATCTCTAATTTTTTTTTCTTAATAGTAGCCTAGTAGGTCTACTTTATTAAAATTTAATATATTATTTATAGTGTTATTTTTATAAAACAACTCTATTTTTAGCTAATAACTAAGTGTTAGAAGCTTAATTATTTTAATATATATAGTAATTTTTTTTACTATATTATATATAAAGTTATTTATTAGGTTTTTAGGCTTACTACTAAAGATTAAGTGTTTATTAAAAATAATATTATATGTATAGATTACTTTTGCTAGCAGTAGTATCTATACATAGTAAATGTTTAATAATTAGTACTTAACTAGATATCTAATCTACGCCTTTAGGTCTAGCCTCTGTAGCTTAGACTTATTCTAATATATGTTATTAGTTATTATAAATGCTTTGCAGCTATAAGCTTTTAAATGTGTAAAGCTTAGCTTTTAAATTAATATAATAACTTTATTATTTAAAGCTGCTTATGTAAAAAAGATCTTATATAGTGTCTTTTAGTTATTAGCATAGTTTAGCGTCTAATTATATAGGTATACACTAGCTCTAGTAATGTATAGCTATATGTCCTATAGTAGGTTAGCATCTAGTTGCATAGCCTATAACTTCTCTTTATTTACACCCTCTAAGTGTTTAGCTTCTCTGTTCTAGGCTTGTGTATTTAGTGCTAAAGGCTTAATAGTTATTCTATGTAATGCTAGCTAGCATTTTACCTCTAGTTTTACTGTTATAATCTTGTTATTAGCTTTAATAACTTTTATAGTAATGTTATAATAGTTCTTTAAAAAAAAATAAAAATTATAAAAGCTTTAATAATTAATTTAGTAAGCTTATTATTTTTAAAGTAGAGGTCTTACTAAAGGCTAGAATACTTATTAGTAATTAGCATTTAACTCTACTTTTTTATAATGCTCTATGCTTTATATGTATAAAAATTAATTAATAGTCTTTTACTAGGTCTACTATTACTAATTTATAGTGTGTAGCTAATTTATTATTATATCTTAGCTTTGCTATATAAGTTACATTAGACTATTATAATTTCTTTAATTTGCACCCCCTTAGCTTACTATATAAAGTGTTAAAGTGTAGCTAGTCTAGAGTATCTTAGACGCTTATGCTATAGCTCTGCTAATGCTTTTTATAAACTATGTTTAGTTTTTATGTTAATTATGTGTGTATAATATAAGCCCTTTTATAGTAGATAGTACTCTAACACTTATTAGCTATAAATTTTTATAAAATCTTTAATTATTATCTTATCTAGGGCTTTTAAAGCAGTTAGCTCTACTTGTATGTCCTACTAGATTCCTTTCTGTTGCAGTAGGCAGAACAAGACTAGGTTGCACAGCAGGTCTAGGCACAGTGCAGTGTTATGTAGTACAAGACTATATACTTAACTGTGTGTTCTATGCTTGCTTTTTAAGCTTAGTGTAATTAATCTATAGCTTTAAATCTATATGTAAGAGTTTCTAGACTAGATAAAGTTTTCTAGTGTTAATAAACAATAGTTATAGATTTAATTAAAATTATTTATAATGTAGCATATTAAGCCTAAGTTAAGAATAAATAATTCTTTTAGCAAATATCTGTTCTAGTTTAAATTAACTATAGCTAGTAATGTAGCTGCTTTAACTTTTAATACTTTCTAGCTTTTAAGTTAGTCTTTTTATATTTTTAGTGTAGGTATATGTAAACTTTTTAAAATTAGTATTTTTAAATTATGTCTACGCTGCCCTCTTAGTAGGCCTTAAAATTCTAAGTTATGCTTACACTTTAATGCTATAAGCTCTTTAACTCTTTTATTTAGCATCTACTAGTCTAGTGCTCTGTCTAGATAGACATAGAAGCAGTCCTTTAGTGCATAGATATGTCTGCATGTAGGACATTTAGTGCCTTTTATTTTAGCAAGTTTTTAGCTTAAGAATAACTTCCTATTATTTTCTTAATAATATTAATGTTAAGGTTTACTCTATTTTCTTAACATTACAACTTCTGCACTACAGGCGTTCCTATTTGTGCCCTAGGTAGTTTTCCTACTTTTAGTAAAGTATAACAAGTTATCTGTTATAAAGGTAGCTTTATACTTTTCTATACATATTAGATAATTTAACATTATATATTTTTAAAAGCGCTTTATTATTTTTTTTTAATTTATGTTTAGTGCAAACTGTCTGCTTTCCTAAAAGGTTGTAAACTAATAAGGGGCAACTTTATTTATAGTAGTTAGAAAGTCCTTTGCTACAGCATTAAACTGCGTTGTTTCTAGAACATTTTATGTCTCTGCTTCTGTGGCAGCGTAGTTATACTCTGCTAGCTACAGGTCCTATATGCTTGCGTTTCTTAGCAGCTTTAGAGATGCATTATATTAGTTACACGCGCGTTCTTGTTTAAATTAGTTATTAACGCCTACTATAGCTTTAAAGTTTGTAATCTACTGTCTAAGTAGTTAATCTAGGGAACAGCATGTACACTGCAGATGCGGGCTAACTGTTAACTAGATAAAGACAATAATCTGTTAGAGGCTTAATTACTCTCTTTTATAATTATGTCTATTACTCTTGTACTTATTAGCCTTAATCTTGTAGTATTTAATAGCTTCTTTAAAGGCTCTAACACCACTTGTTAATAGCTCGTTCAGGTGCGTAGGCGTTTCAACGTTAGAGGCTGGTGAAAACTCAGCTATTAGCGGCATCTCTGGAGCTCTTGGTTTGGAGATCATTTGGATGGTCAACTTAGGATCCACTTGCGGCCAGATGCCGTGCGCTACACATCTCGATTGCAGCTGCATCATCCAGGCTCTGTAGTCGGTGTGGTCTCGAAGG